TGTCTCCACAGGGGAATCTCTTTCCTGTCCCAGGTTATAGCTGGCTAGTACTGTGTGGGAAGAGATAAATATTTTTATCTCCTCTCTTGGCAGTTAGTGAATTGAATTTAGGAATTAGTAGTTCTTGTTGCTGATTAGTGTACAGTGTTCCTGTTTTCCAGCACTGAATTACTCATCTTGCTTTGTTAGATTTATCTGGAATTTTTTCATCTTCAGTAATTGCAAATTTGTCACTATGCTGTTTAACACACTTTGAACGTGGTTAAATAAGGGTAAGCGGTTTTCTTCTAGGGAAGGCTGGATTGTTTTTCTGAATTTAGAAAAATGTGCTTATTCTGAAAGAGTCTAAGGATTGCTTGGAAGTTCTTACTGAGTTGGGTGTCAGTGATTACTCAGAATTTCATAGTAGTACAATCATAGTTGTTCTTGTTTATCTCACAGACTTTGTCTAAGCGAAAATGTTATACATAATCAGAGGTGAAACATTAAGGAACTAAGGCACTGCAGTAAATGCCAGGACTGAATTTATGCATTTTGTTTGGGGATTTTGTAGCATAGTTTAAACAGCATGAGCATCCTTACTGAAGTACCTTCAGACTCTGAATGTACTGTCAGCCTTTGGACAGGGTCAGACAAGCTGTTAACCTGTAGAGCTACTGCAGAACCCAGTGTTGCTACCTGGGACATTAATATGGCTGTAGTCAGTCCTAAACACTTTCAATAGAGATCATGAAATCTGTCTTGCCAAGTTCTTTATGGGTAGTGTAGGATAGCTGCTGCTCTGGAAGGCTTCTCTGATGAGTAAGCACTTTGCAAACAGAGATGAGCAGAACAAATGCACTATCTTAACAAGAATTGTAGTCTGTAAAGGACCCAAATTAGTTCCAAAGTTCACAAGATCATCACAACTAGAAGAAAACAGTGAAGTCAAAGCAGGACAAAGCCCTTGATTAGATATTTATAATTTAAGCTGGGATGCAAATGTGTTCTGCGTTCTAGAGAACTTGAGAGACTTGCTAAGATTTGCAAGATACTTAGTGCAGGAGGAGTAGTGTACCAAGTGTTTTGCTCTGAACTGTTACTATGGCAACTGCCTAGTTTTTGGGACTTTGAATACTTCATGCTCATTAGTGGTGAGGGCTTACATAGGTACTACCATTTAAGATGACTGCACTAGAAGAACAGGAAATAGTGACGCTAACTTCTCTAAATGTAGATTTTTAGGCATGCTAGAATGGCAGTAATCCTCCTTGAAAAGCTGGTGGTTCTATACACCATGTTTGCTAAGGAAGCTAATGTCACAGAACATACTGAAATCTGTACAGTGTAAAATCTAGTAGGATGTATAACCAGTTTTCTTGGAAATCAAGGTCATTGTTACATGCATGTTAGTAAACTCCTTACTACAAACCTGATGATTTGAATGCTAACTGACTGCTGTTATTATAGAATTCAAAGTACAGTCTTACTGATAATTGGTACTTTGACAGGTATTTAGAAAACACTGTTTCAAGTGCTTTCTACCTCTGTTTGAAAAAGTGAAAATAAATCCATAGCATCTAAGAAGCTAAGCTTAAATCATGAGCAATTAGCACAAGAGGTAACAGAGTGAAGTATAATACATCCAAAATACAGATAATAAAAAAGAAATTTTCAAGTGATAGACACTGCAATGTGATGATAAAATCGTCTCTTCATACTGACCAGTGTTGAAACAAAATTAAAATGAAAACGTTTCCTCATCTAGAAGCTTTTGTACATAGAAAAACAAAGTCTCTCAACATACTGTTTAACTTCTTGGGGTGTGGTAAGGAAAGAGAATTCTCAAGTAGAAAAAGAATTTGTATGTTTTCCAGTGAAAAGTATTTTCCATGGCAGTGAGTCATACTGTAACTTGAGGCTTTCTTCAGACTATTTTTTTGTAGCTAGTTTGCTGCAAAAGTCACAAGTTTCCAGAGACTTACTGTCTGGGACTTGGCAAGGTTTAAAAAAATTAAAATCTTGCTGCATAACAGTAACTTTAATTTGCTTTTATGTATTAAGAACCTTTAAAAAAAAGCCCAAACCCAATATTTTATCTGTGTACGTGGCCCATTTTTAGACTCTGGCTATTGAATGCATAGTAACACTGCCAAAAGAGCCCTACAAATGCATGGCAATACTCTCTTCCTGCCAAGTTAGGAAGCTGTCAAACTAAATTTCAGTGATGTCCAAATAGAATAGGAATTAAGTAAGTCTTTTATCTTTGTGCATCCACTTGCAGATGGAATGTACAGCATTCTCAGATGCCTGCTTCTCATCAGTCTTAACAGCTTAGCACAAATAACTTCCCTGTCAAGAGGTGGGCCTCCTCTAGAGTAATTACAATTCCTGGAAAACAGTAACTGGATGAATTGTGAGAAGGAATTAAATGTTGGCCTGTTTAAATGTTATGCACTCGTGCTACAGAAGGTAAAAATTCATCACACCTGTCAGGGAACCTGGGATCCACACCCTGACCTTCTGACGCTGTAATGAAAGTTTTTAGCAGGTAAACTGGAGAAGAGTGACTAGTGTAGTCAGCACAACTCTCAGAATTGGCTGGTCTTCCACTTAGGAAGGTAAAGGCAGCAGTCAAGCCATTTCCATTAAAACTGGCTGGAAAAGAAGTTAAATCTTGCTCGGAAATATAAAGTTGTCCAGAAAAGGACAGTTTCAGCCTCAGGTCTAAAAGTTTTCCCTATCCTGTTATATGTACGTGGCTGACAAATAGGCAGCTCACTTGAAATCCTGTCAGTACTTTGTTAATTTTGGGACTTTTTCCTTATTTCTCTTGGTATCTATTACAATAAAGTTTGTAGTAATCCTTGACTGTAACACAAGAAAACTGGAGATGTAACTGTTTTGCATGCGTTTGAGTCTTCTAGTTAAACTGCTATTTGTTCACCTCTTCAGATCCTGTCTTCCATATTATGTGGAGGAGAGGTTTCCTTCTCCCTGTGTTTTACTTCCCTGTTTAAACTATACAAAATAACTGTGCCTAATTATTTAGTCTCCCTGCTGCTCCCATATATCAATAAACAACATTTTCTGTGCCTGCAGGAGTACATTTATAGCAAAACTGCTTTGTATACACAACTTGGAAGTTTAAATAAGTATATGGGTTGAATAAATACACGATCTAGTTGAGCTGGGGGTGGAAGGGCAGAGTTCGTTTCTGGTCAGCATAGGCTGTGACTTCAAACTTGGCTGGCTTGAGCAATGCTCAAATGAAACCTGTCCCCAGAGTACCTGCTCAACCAAGAGGGAACGATACCCCAGGCAGGACAGTCAGTGCCATAGATAGTGTTTGTTCTTGCTTGACAGAAGGGTAACTGCTCCTCTGAAGGATCGGAGTAAGACATGTTAAAAAACCACCATGTATGTTCTAACTTTGACTGGTCTGTTGATCTCTGATAGATTCCACTTTAATTTTGACTACTACTTCCTGTGAGAAGGCTACTGAAAGACCAGATATTGGCACCTTGCAGCTACCTAAGTCAGAAACTACTTAGTTTGCTTTTGGAAACCACCCTTCCCCCATATACACAATGAATTTAAATTCTGTTCTGCAGGGGCATGGTACTTTCTTTTCCTGATTGAACTCACATAAGAAAGCAGCACTTGGCCCTCAGCTTTATTTGAGCAGCACTCAGTTCCTTTGAAACTGGGATTGTTTCCAGAGCATTCAGGAATGGCTTTCATAGCAGCACAGTGCTTTAGTTTGGATAATGTATGCTGGCCTTTTTTCACTCCTGAGGACCTGAATATGGTCTTCTCTTTACATAATAGGAAATTTGTGGTGCCATGTTCTGGCATCTAAAGGACACTCTGTGCCTACTACAAACCACCGTACAACTTGGCACAACCTACAGCCAAGGACTGGGGGAGTAGAGATGGGAATAATAAATTCTTCATGGCTCTGTTATAGGCTTAGTGATGTAGAAAAAGCTTGGATGGAAACAAACATACAGCTGTGGGGGCTTTTTTGCTGTGGTCACATGACTGTGGGCACTGTGTTGATCTTAAACATCATGTTTAGTCTTCTGTAGTTCTGTATATGTGCCCTGTCAGTCTGCTTAAATATTTTCTACTTGGCAACTGCCTTCAGAATGCATGAATTTTAAGTCGGAGTTCAATCAATTTATTGGGCAACTACAACTCATTTTTCAGAAGACCAGTAAGAGGCAGGTGAAAGATCTCCTTACCTTTGTGTAATCTTTTTTCCACTCAGTTTTGGACTGCCTTGAGTTCTGGGATCACCCATTTTGCATCTGAGCTGCTATCAGCACCCAGCAATTTGAATTTGCAACAAATATGTGTGTCAACATACACTTGCAGGTCTGCTGGATAACTTGGAGCAGGGAATGCAGGTGTGGGATGGGTGGCCTGGTCACACAGGCTTGCTGGGGTGGTTATTCCATCAAAATGTGCACAAATTTGAATTAGCAGAGTGGTTTGTTATGTGGCTGTGCCTAGCAAACAGAGCTTTGAAGCCAAGGCTTATGACTTAACAAGAGCTTGTGTTCCTCTAGCCAAAAGACCTTGATTGTAGCCTGTATTGTTAAGTTCTGTTCAGGAACAAAGTTCATCTTGTATATACAATGAATGAAGTCCAAAGCTAAAGATCTTATGGAATACTGATGAGCTTCATAAGTTTCTTGAAAACTCTGCTCCTAGCTTCCTAGCAACTTGATTGCTCTTCCTCACAAGGAATATTAACTTTTTTTTTCCAAAGCTGAGTGCTACTGTTAAGCAACTTAATAGAGAATTACTAAAGTCTTGAATTTCTGCAACGTAAAAGATAGATATCTAACTAGGAGAACAGGAACTTGTTTTTAAAGTCTTAAAGCAAATAACTTGTTAAATTACATACTTGCATGTTATAGATGGTTGGTGTAGAATTAACCTTCCCAATTCATAAATACCTATGAAGTTGTTCAGTGAATTCCTGTTTTTTCTCATGTGTCTTCTGCAGGTATTCGTTATAGTATGGATGTTAGTGTGGATGAAGTGAAAGCCTTAGCATCTCTCATGACATACAAATGCGCTGTGGTTGGTAAGTGTTAATCTTTCAAGCAAGATTTCAGTCTAATTTCAATCAATACTGATGTAATTTACAGAAAAAAGCCCATCTAAAGGACTAAGTTTTACACACTAATCTCTAAAATATATATCAAGATGGGGAAAAATATATAGTTACCAAAATAATAATAAGACCTATTCTCTCTGCTGTTACTGTTGATGCTTAAATAAAGTTGCATTTTCATTTGAAAAGTCCAAATTCTGCTTGCTACCCTCTTCCATAGAAGTACTGCATCTTGAACTCAAATCAAAGTATGACAAACTTGGATTAGTAGGAGACTAATTTTAGGGGGAACAGATGGAGGCTGTAAAGGATTCAGGCAGGGGAGCTGTGGAGAGAGAAGGTTAAAATTCTTTTATGGGTTAGAGAGAAGTATAATTCATACATGGCTACTAAATTATAGAAGAGTTTGGAGAGAATCTGCACATTATGTGTAGTAAAGAAAATCCTTTCTTAATGTATATAGAGACATTAGGACTTCCAAGGTAAATTTTCTGAGCCAAGCTAGTAAAATATAAACTGTAAAACTTACTGTTTCTGCAAGTGCCAAGTACAAGACCTTGCAGCATAGAAGATTTGAATCATGAACTTCTGAGTTTCAAAGACCATTTTCAAGCAGCCTTGAAAGATCTCCCATTTCTGTAAGAGTACCTAGATCAGATTATAGTTTACAACTTGAGAAGCCCTAAAAATGTGGCAAAACCAAAATCACTGCTAAAATCAAAGATATAATTACTCACACATACTACTGATGTGTTCTGCCTTTATTGTTGAAAAAGTAAAATGATTTTCCTTTGCATTCTTGTAGATGTGCCATTTGGTGGGGCAAAGGCTGGTGTCAAGATCAATCCCAAGAACTACACAGTAAGCCTAATCATAGATAAAAATTTGGTAATCTGCAGTACTGAAGCCAGCCAGTTAAAAAAAGCTCTTCTAAGGGCATTACTGATCAGTTAAAACCTCCTGCCACTTCTGCCTATGTAAAGGCTGAATTTTGCCTGTGCATGCAATAGGTATGATAAGAATTTTTAAAAGGTCTGTGTTTCAGAGGTGGAATACTTCAATTATTTATTATTTTTTTTCGAAAAGTCAGGGGACTACAAATAATTTGGAACCTGATTTTTTTTAAAAGTAGATACTCTTAATAGAAGCTTACATTAAATTACTCTTAGAATAAAGTTAATGGTTTTGTTTATTTTGACAAATAGTTTTATGCTCCGTTGAACCATTCTATGCAGTGTTCCAGTGTGAATAATAACTAACTTGGCTTATAAAAGGTTTACCACAGGCTTGCCTTCTTGCCCTAATTAAAATGACTCGTACAGAAAGGAATACTGGAATACGTAACAGATATTCTAAGCTCAAGGCTCCTGTAAGGATCTGTGTGAAGTCGTTCGACTGTGTTGATTACACAACTGGCAGACCAGCTATTGCTGCTGCTGGTTGTAAATCGCTCACACAGGATATCAGATTTGTTTGCTGGAAGTCTCTGCTACAGGCACAGGTGGTTCTTCCTGTACCACACTCCCGACTTGTCACGGATCAGAATGTACAGAAAGAAAGCTGAACGTTACTTGTGCTGCCTGAATACCAACAGTCTGTTAGGGAGTGGCATATAAATTCTATAAATTATGAATCATGCTTTCTTCTGAAAGAGGAGGGCGTCTGTTTATGCTTGGGCTAAGTTCTAGCAAATACTCATAAACACTAATGATTTCTTCTGATATTTGTTGCATTTCCTCTATAGGACAATGAATTGGAAAAGATCACAAGAAGGTTTACCATGGAGCTGGCAAAAAAGGGCTTTATTGGTATGTTGTGCAGTTTTATGGTTCAAATTTAGGATCTGATTTATTGTTCATTGGCAACATCCACTAGATAGTATCCTTAAATAACTGTACTTTTGAGAGCTGTAAACAATTTGGGTACTTAGCTTTCAGCAAAGAGCCACAAACAATTGAGTCATTGCATCTTAGTGCATTTTAGGGGGAACTGTCTTAACTTTTCTAATGGCAGTTCTGCTATGAGAAGCCACAAAAGCTGAGGTCACAGGATCCAATATGAATCACATTTCTCTTAAAGCTGGAGTATAATATAGTGACCACGTTTCTAGCAATTTTAATCTCTAACAGCAAACTCTTCACTGTTACTGTTTCCTGTTGTCTCAGTTGAGGCTTTTGGCAGATAACTGAGGAAAGAGAGGAAGGAAATAGAAGATCCACCCCAGAGAAAGTTGATGGTTTCACCCATGGCAACCACGGGCTGCAAGGGACGTGTAGGCAAGAAGCATAGGGACCAGTTGTAATAGAACCTCAGCTTTTGTAACATTAGTAGGTGTTTCATTCAGACTCTCACCCCGAGTTGTTCCGATAGCTTGCTGTCTGCAGTTGCTGGAGAAAGCTGAATGTTACTAGCTCAACTTGTAATTAAAAGGAGGAGCTTTACCCAGAGGAGGTTCTTATTCAAATCAGTAATAAGGCATGTAACTAGTTAAAAGTCTATCATGTATTCCTGAGGTCTAACTGCACTGGGAATGTGTATCCATTTATCTGCATTTTCTTGTTCTTTGGCTAGAGTGTTTGTCATCTGTTCTTACAGCCACAGTGTTTATTATCTAAATTAAGTGTCTTTATAAACACACTTAGTGATGTTACACATGACTAGGGTAATACTATATACTACACCAACTTGTTTGATTGTTAGTTCAGTGACAATTAAAATGGTTGGATTAAATTTGACTTCCTTTTTGGCTCTGTGTTTGGTGCTGCACAACTTTTACAAACCTTTTAAAAGTATTTAGAAGAAATTGTTAGAGGCTGACTTGCATTTAAAAATCTTCCTGAGCAAGTCTCTCAGATCTTAAATAGTTTGGGCAAATACTATTTTTAGTTATCTAGAAAAAAGAGAATTTGTTTTTATTTCAACAGGCATGTGAAAGTTCTTTCAAAGGTTTATTTCATCAAGAAAGGTTTAATTTCTCTTTCTTGAAGTAAGCAGTAAGATCAAATGTGTGTGCTATAGTGCAATGACTAGGAACAGCTTATCTTCAATTTTTAAACTCACCTAGGAACAAAAATGAAATCCTAATGCAAAAGAACCCAAGCAATGTCACAGTATATAGAAATCATACCTAGATAACACCCTACCTGTTACAGCAATGTTTGGAAAAAAACCCAACTGCACTATCTTGTCTGGCTTTTTATTGACAAACTGACCTTCATTTTATCAAGTGGCCTATGTGAAAGTTTGGAGGGTTTGACAGTATTGCAGGAATGTGTGATAGAGCATCTAAAACTGAATTGAATCCAGAAGGATAAGTTGCTTGCATAATAAACTGAGGGTTAAACAGGAAAACAGTTCTTCTCTGCCAAGACCTGCACAGTTCCCAGGGGAATAATGGTTGAAGATGACTGTTTATGTTTGATCCTTAAAAGCTGTTGCCACTGTTGCCAACAGGACCTGGTGTGGATGTGCCTGCTCCTGATATGAGCACAGGGGAGAGGGAGATGTCATGGATTGCTGACACCTATGCCAGTACCATAGGACACTATGTAAGTAGAGGATTTGAAGTAAATTGCTTAATTGAACTGCTTAATCTTATAATTTTGTTTAATTATTGGATCTAAATATGTTCTTGCAGACTATGACAACTTAATTGGTGTAAGGATTTTAGGGTACAGTTAAGGAAAAATAGCTTTAAGGCTAATGTTTTTACACTGGCCTTAAAATAAGTTTTTCGGATATAATACTGATTGTAACTCTTCAGCAAAAAGAAATATACTATTTTTAAAGGTATACTTAGTCTAAAATTGGTTTCTATTTCTGCCATTTCCCTGTTTTTCATTAGTACTATAGTTAGTAATTTAAAATTGTTAAACAATTAGTTTGTAATAGCTTGTATAGTCTGCAGTACTGAAATCTTTCCATTCAGGTAACTAAATTTACAAGTTTTGTTCAATAAATGCTCATGTTCTTGTTCATTCAAGAAACCATGTAAATTAAGTTCACATGGTATAACATGTAAAAGTTTTAAAGTTCTTTTTGGTCCCCTAGAAGTAACAAGTAATCAGTGTAGACTTCAGCAAACTCTCCAAAATGTGAAGCAAAAGGGTAGTAATATAATTTATTGCCCAGGAGGCAATTAAAAATTAGTTTTTAATACTTGCCCTTAATTTGGCCTTTGTCCTTATGTTAGTAGTGTTATTTGTAGCTGACTGTTGACCAAACACTTTTGTTGTATACTTTTGATAGATTGGATGAAAGAAAAATATGTTATGGACAACTTCTTTCATAGCAGCTGTGTATTAGTGTGTTAATATGCTAAGCTATTGCAATTTGCCTGTGCCAGCTCCTTTTGAATTGAACAGACTCTTTCTTTGTACTTTTTGCAGTCCCTTCCAACAGCGCTTCCGAAATACAGCAGGGTGTATGCCTCCAGTAGTAAGGCATTAGAGCCACTCAGCACGTGTTTCTCTCTGGCATGTCTGCTCAAGATGTGCCTGGCTTTCCTGAGACAGTCTCTTGGCAGAATTCTTGTCTGATGCCTTTAACAATAGGAGGATGGAGTGGCACAGGTTATTCTACATCTGAAATACAGTCTAAGGTGTCTTATGGGAGGAAAAAAAGAATGCTTGAGGAATTAGCTGTGGCACACTGATTAGTTGAGCTAAATCACTTTTACACAGAGCTGCCTGTTAGTCAGGGATATCACTGTAAAACATTGCTTGCTTTTTGGTATTCACTTATGAAAATACTTCAATTAAAACTTAAAACCTGATAAAAAGCAAAAATTACAACTTCAGAAAGACTGCAATATGCAGAATGGCAACTTGTTCCCTCATTAATAACTTAAAATTCCTACATTTAAGAAAACTACTGCCTCAAAGCATTTTAACATTTAACTCCTTGCACTAAAATACATATTTCACTGTGGTACAACAGCATTGGATTATTACAACTGACACAGAAGGCTCTCAGCACATGACCAGCTTTAAGATTTGCTGTACTAATTAAGAGTTCTCATACAGTTTTATGCAAAAGCTTCAGGGTTTTTGAGAGATGGAAAACTAAACACTGATGGAGAAGTTTTCAAATGGCTGAATTTCTTTTTATTTTCACTTTGTCATCTTACGTTGTTGTGTAGTCCTACACATACACATGATTCAATGACAAAAGAAAACAAACCAGCAACTATTGAGGGTGAAGACAGAATTTGAATTATGCCACAACAACTGCTTTTATTGCTAGACTCTGCATGGCAGTAGCTTACTGAAAAATAAAAATCCCAAGAGGACTTAGCAACATTTTTCTGAAAAGTTAAATAAGGAATTGAAATAAGGGGGGGGGGAAGTTACTTCATTTTGTTGGGTTGCTTGTTTGTACGTGGAAGAGAGAATGGTAGCCACAGTGGAACTTTGGAGCTATTGTGGAGAATCACCAGGTATGGAGAAGGAAAGTAAGAATTCTGACAATGCTATAAAAAGGAGAATAATTCATCAAAAACAGTTTGTAGAGGAAGATGTTTCAGATAACTATCTGGTTGAGACACCAAGAACAAAAATAAAGGTGGCTAAGGAATACTAAATAGATAAAAGTGACCATGGGGGAAGGGAACTAAGAACAGAAAATGACCATTGAACAAAAGTCAAACTAGCCATAATTTTGAATTAGATGGAAGCTATGTGAGGGACTACATGCACTTAAGTAGAAATACAACTCTTCAGTCAGAGGGATCTGTCTGAGAAATCTGCAGACCTGATGAGTCAGTGTTTGCACACAGCTGTGTTCAGGGAGTTTGAAGTGGAAAGGATAAGTTGAATAACAGATAGAAACAGATGGGGGAAGTCTGCACAAAACCTGACATACAGAGCCAGGAAGCTGCAGAGACAAGGAGCATATTATTGCAGCATGGAAAGGGCTTAAGAAGGGAGCAGAAGTTAGTGTCTGAACATTGCCAACTGAGTTCCATAAACTACCAGGACTGATATAAAAGTCTTTAATGCTAGCTGTGAGTCATTTTACAAGGTTCTCATTAAAAGCCATGCTCCTTCTTTTTGGCCCAAGATGTGTTAAAGATTTTTGTTTATTGACTTAAAACCAGAGTTTTTAGGACTTTGACATCAACTGTGATTTGTATATGTGACTTTAAGAAGACCTGGACCTGCCCTCACTTCATGCTCTGTTTTCTTGCCAAACCATGCAAGTCTTTAATAATTACCATGTTAACTATTCCAGAAAATCCATCTGAAGTTGCTGGATCACTGAATTATATATGGCAAAAGTTTTTGAGTAAATGAATCCTTTCCCCTCTTCTGTATGCCCTTACATATCTGACTGACTTTCGGGACACACGAAGGGGCTTTATTAAATACATTCATAAATATGGTGGGAGGCTGTATTTCTTCAAGTATTTATACAACATACTTCCCGCTTTGTGTATGCATGAAGCCTAAAACATGGTTTCAATCTGAAACGGAACAAAAACCCAAAACACTAACCCAAGTTGTTCCTAGCAAAACTCCCACACCGATCTTGGTTACAGTTAATATACCACCAGAGGGAGCATACAGCTTGTGGAGAGCAGCACAGCTATATTTTGGGAAACTGAATTAGGAATTTTGTGGCAAGCCCAGCATAGCTTTTATTGCTCTTGAAGAGTTATCTTAAGGAGTTAAAAAGTTATCTTTGTCTTTATATGTTACCTCACTATCACTTTCAAACAATAAATAGTTTAGTTTTCGTTTTGGCTCTAGTCATCTCCAGCCAGTCTGTCCCCACTTCTTTTGTCTGCTCCTTTTCTTCCTCTCACCAAGCATCTTGCACTCATGCCACAGGCATGCAAATGCACTTGGCACAAGTGATGGAGAGAAGGGAGCCTCCCAGTGAGTATGTGGCTGATGGAATAGAAACCCATCCGGCTGCTGGCATACTCATTTCAGTGGATTCTCTTTCATCCCTACTCTTTCACTGGTGCTGGAAGCCAAGCCACTGTGTAACTCTGCTCCCAGGGGGTGGGAGCATGGGAACCAGTGGTGACAGAAGAAGGATGTGCAGTGTCTAGTTTGGAAGAATTTTTTCCAAGTTATTTCAATTTGAAAAGTTAGCTCTGGTTTTAAATAACTATTTTATCTTGGCTAACTGTCTGGCGTATGGAAAACTTGATTTTATTGCCACCAAATTAAGAGTAGATGCGTGAGTGAATATATTGCTTTTTTGAATAAAAGTAGTAAATTCCTGACTTTTCTCATATGACCTTCATACTGCCGATTTTCCTCTGAGGTCCAACAGCCCTATATTCTGACAACAAGAAGATATTAGGCCTGTTTTGTCATTTCAAAATCACTGAACTTGGTATAAAGGAACACTAAACACTGTCTAAAAGTGATTAAAAACCAGTCCAAGGATATGTCTGAGCCCTTAAAAAGATTAAAATGTCAAGAATAATGATGGAACTTGTGGCTGTAATAGGAGCTGATTATGAGAAACATATCCCTCAAAACTCTATGATTTGTCTGAGCTCTGCTGATTGCTAACAGTGCAACATGGATGTCACCATGATTGACTAAATACTGACGGAAGATAACATATACACTTAAATGCAACAAAAAACCTACAGAGCGTATCCACCATTGCATTACACAACTTTCCTGACATCTGCTAGAGTACTTCCAAAGTGCTTATACAAAGGAGGAAGGAAATCATCTTTACAAACTAAATGGTATATAAGCTATGTCATGTTCTGACTCTTAGTTCCCTTTTCCCTTATATCTAAAGTGTACAAAACTTCTTGTTCCGGCTGTTTTTTGATTGATTAATTCCATAGCTCACAAGTACTTCACTGTTTTACAGGATATTAATGCACATGCTTGTGTAACTGGTAAACCCATCAGCCAGGGGGGGATCCATGGACGTATATCTGCAACTGGTCGTGGTGTCTTCCACGGAATTGAAAATTTCATCAATGAAGCATCATATATGAGTTTATTAGGGATGACTCCTGGATTTGGAGATAAAACATTTGCTGTTCAGGTAACTCTTTCTTTCCTTCAGCTATATAGAAAAAGTAGTAGGCTTTCAGTAGAGCTGCTTTTAAGAAGGGCTGCAGCCCTTAAATCCTGTTAGAGTTTTATAACTTCCAAGTTAACCTTTACTCTCAAACTTTAGAAACACTTTTAAAGCAATGTGGATGCCCTTTATTTTGGACTGCTTTTTAAAAACTGAGCTTCCAATTGCACTCTACAGGCCCAAAGCCAAATCTGTAATCCTGACAAACATAGGCTGCAAAGACCAAAGTGAAATACTATTACAGGTGTTCTTTAAGGGATTGCACACTTTCCAGTGAGGTATAACACTGTTTCTACCTACACAAAATTTGTTACAATATTTTGTAATAAAAAATTAGAGAAGGAATTGAGGGTTACGTTCTTGTTCCACCGTGGAATGGTCAGTTGGAACAAGAGAAATGGTTTCTATATCTTATCCTGAATTTGTAGGGTTAAATGTACATTTTTGGTGTTCATAAGATTTCAGGACTTAAGTAGTTGAATTTTGAAGGGATTTGGTAGCTAGTAATATGCATTTTCATTCCTAAGAATAAACTTGTTCAACTTCAAACAGTATGTTAAATGGAGGATTTGAGACACTGATTTGTTTTGTTGTTTTCGAAAAGTACCAACACACTGGTTGTTAGAAATAGCAGAGTAATTGTAACCTCCAAGTTGTCCTCCAGTTAACCTGTGGGCTGAAACAAACATCTCTGCCCTGCCTGGACCCAGCAGCACACTCCTACCCTGCCCTTTGGCATCTTTGTGCCTGGCAGAGGGCTAACCAACAGGCACTTAAGCATAACTTAGACTGAAAACATGGCTATAAGAATATCTAAAAATTCTTGTAGAAAAATCATAGAATCAACTGGGTTGGAAAAGACCTCAAAGATCATCAAGTGCAACCCTACATAAAGCTAGAGCATTTCAAAGAGACCTAATGCGTGACAGACTGTGGTATCAAAGTTTCCTTCTAATACATAAACAAAAATCCTAAATATACATGGAACTATGTTATGCAGGAATTTAGTGTTCAGCTTTTTTTCAGCACAGAATCGTACAACAAACTTTTGACATTCATCATGTAACCCTTCAGTCTGCTATGCTGTGTTCCTTTGCTTCCAGAATGTTGAGTAGTGGCCTGGAATTCTACACCTGTAAGGATGTAGAACATGCCATTTTTAAAATTTTAATTTAGGCAGTCTGTACAGGACCACTTCAGAAATGTACTAGAAATTACATCGCTTCCTACTGGTGTGCGTGTTTTAGTGTGAAGAACTAATGATGTTCTTTTGTGGAATGGTTTTACACTTTTAAGCCTTCCTTACCCAAATTAAATGAGAATATTTCTTGGCCTGCAAATGGTAGTCAAACCTGTGACTAATAATGCAAAAATCCACTTATCCCTTTAAGACAGTGCCAGTTATAAAACAGATACACATAATGTTCCTATGTTGATAAAGATCATAGTTTTAACACTTTCATAGTAGCATTATTGCTTCCTTTCTTTATTTCCAGTATAAAAAACTTATTACAACTGTACATTGCTGGCTGCAACACATGATTTCTGCAGTGGCATTCAGACAAAAGAATGCATGTAGCTTTCTCCCATCTTTCATTTACACATCATCTAATGCCAGGATGTGCCAATAGATGGAGAACTATTTAATACTATTCAAAACTATATAAGCCTTAGCAGTAATCATTTTAGCTGAGGGGTTAACTACTTTTCCCTTTCTCTTTTCACCTCTAGGGATTTGGTAATGTGGGCTTGCATTCTATGAGATACTTGCATCGCTTTGGAGCAAAATGCGTCGCTGTCGGAGAGTTTAATGGTTCTATCTGGAATCCTGATGGGATTGACCCAAAGGAACTAGAAGACTTCAAATTGGTATGATACTTAGCTAAGTAGAAAGTTTTGGTTTTGTCAGCTTTGCAAGTACATAGGGTGACTATAGACCGGTATTTCTTTATGATATTTGAATCACGCAGCAAGTAGTCCTTACAAAATGGCTTAGAAATATTGATTCTTCTGGCTTTTCTCCTTGTCCCTAACATGAATGCAGGTGGTACTTTTCTTTACCTTTTGACCTGACTAAGAAAAATGTCAAGGGCTTGCATGTGTGCAGGCTAATTACTTTGTTTTCAGAATTGGAGTTCATTATTGGTTTGCCTTTCTTATGCCTGAGCTAGGAAGGATGGTGGAAGGAACCAGGGCAAGGAGGTTCCTGAAGGATTCCTGACTGAGAATCACCAGCATGTGGTCATTTAAGACCTACAAAGTGCACCTTTGGTGCTTCTTAACTTTTGGATGCTTCTGAGAGAATTAGAGCCTGTCTGGCAGTGTGACTTAATTGTGTCGTTTATAATGAAAACTGGATATCATCTTTTGATTTCAGTTTCCAAGTAAAGCAAACTTGAGGGGACAGTTCAGAGGCACTAAAATGCAATCTTTAACTGAAAGTTTCTAAGGGGCTTAATTGATGTGTCTTCTTTTGCATAGGGAGTATTTGAATGTCTCTCACCCCCTTTCTCAAAAGAATGAAAGCATTCTATTACTAAACAAAGGCTATCATTGTAGTACTGAATTAAAAAATGTTACTTCTGAGTCTTTTACATGATGCAGCTTATCCTGGGTGTAGCAGACTGATGAGTCATTTCAGTTGTTTGAAAACTATTTTAAACATTGAGAGGGACCTTTTTTTCTTTTTTTAAATGCTCTATAGCCCAAATGGTTATCAGTGTCTTTGGCCAGAGAGCAGTTATTCCTCACTCATGGGAATTTTGACTGTTAATCAAGCTTTGTAGCTTGCTTTTTATGTCTAATCTAAGTAAAGAGAGAAATTATGTTATGTGCTGTCTTTCTAGTCCTGTTGCTTCTCCCTTTTTCCTGTTATGAAAGTTAGAAGAAAGGAAGGAATTCATATGAGTACGCATACACTAAGAATACCCTGGTGTGTTTTCTTCACACAGCAACATGGGACAATCATGGGCTTCCCTAAAGCACAGACACTTGAGGGCAGTATTCTGGAAACAGACTGTGACATTCTCATCCCTGCTGCCAGTGAGAAGCAGTTGACTAGGGCCAACGCTCACAAGGTTAAAGCAAAAGTAAGTCAAAGAATTCAAATGTAAATGGACAAGAGAGAAGGCCTGTTTAACTACCAGTATTTGATAATTAGCAGGAACAAAACCAAACATACACTTCTGAGTTTCTCTGCTGTGATTTCTTTCAGATCATTGCTGAAGGTGCCAATGGGCCTACAACTCCTGAAGCTGACAAAATCTTCTTGGAGCGGAATATCATGGTTATCCCTGTAAGGTTCTATCCTGACCTTTGAGTTTCCTTAAGAGTAACATTTTTGTGAATTGTAGCAAGATATTATTTATTGAAGGCTTTTCTTAATGACCATTCATTCTCTAAAACCATTTTTTAATAACTGATGTCCAGGAAAAGGTTGTCTGTGTTGTTTAAGATTGATGGTATTTATTAAAAGTTTCGCTGCAACTGTCAATGACCAAAGATAACTGTTACATGAAGTCTATGTATTCAGAAGACAGAACAATCCACAATTAATTCTTAAATCTCTGGTGTTGCATTTTGGATTGTAGGCTGACATTTGCTCAATCAAAAGTGCACTAAGCAAAAGAAGAAAGCAGAGTAAATATACTGGCCAGTTTGTTTACAGGCATTGTGTCTCTGGATGATGCTCTGATATAGCTGCATACCATACATCATACAGTGTAAATGTTGCCTATAGTGAAAATTTTAAAGACCTATCCAGATACCACGACAATTTTCTTCCCAGAGAAAGGATGTTCTGACCAAGTGATATTGCTAGATAGAGTGGCTGATATTCAGCCTTTGCTCACTGAGATGGCAAAGAATGCCCTAGTTTCCTTGATTAAAAACTCATGCTAAAATGGAAGTAGGCAGTCAAACACACCTGAACTTTGTGTTCTAAAGTCACGTCCTCTTTTAAGTCAGTAGGAGTAATCCCTGGACTGCAGAAGAGGATAAGTGTTGTCCTGTAAGAGTAAGAACTGGATTGTCTAATGTACTGCAGTTTAAACTAGTGCTTTGTGTGTGATACTTCTGCTTGCTTTTGCATAATATGATAGAGCTGTCTTTGTCACATGGTCACAATTCAAGATATTTACTATTTCTGTGCAGGATCTTTACCTGAATGCTGGTGGTGTAACAGTATCCTATTTTGAATGGCTGAAAAACTTGAACCATGTCAGTTACGGGCGCTTGACTTTCAAATATGAAAGGGATTCAAACTACCACTTGCTCAGTAAGTGCTCAGTTTCACTTCCGTGCACTGTTTAATTAATAGAATGGACTAGCAAGCACCAAATATGGGAGAAGAGAATACAGAACTATTTTAAATTCACCACAATTTCCCCACAAGTCTATAATTGCTGCATACTGAAGAACAGAAAATATTTCATGGGTTAACTGACTTGCAGATCTAATGACTTAAATGCATACTTTTAATTCTTTCCTCAGTTTTGTGAAAACACTGAAGTCGAGCCTCTTATGTGAAATATTTATTACTTCTTGGTAAACATGTTTCAGCTGTACACTTGGTATTTAAGAAGTATTCAGAGTTTGAGTGGGTGACATTGTTCTGCACATACAACAATAGAGGATTTCTATAAAGGACAATAATATAATTGATACAGGCACTGTAAAAATCTGCTTATGGCCTACAGCTCCACTTAGGTCATTCTGTGCTTCCTAGTTTCTGGGAAAGAATTCCAATTACATGGAGACAGGAAGCTTAATGGAGAAGAACTGGAGGATGTTGCCCCATTTTAAACAATATTCAGTAGAAAACATGTGAGAATCTTGAGGCATTGGACTTGACAAAACATACATCTGCAGGTTTTTTACTACAACCCTTTCTCAAAGATGATGTCTTTCAAGGTGTTTCTAAAGTAGTTGAGAGTTACATCAATTTCATTTAAATTCCTTTCTTCAAGATTGTGTCATCTCAAATACTATATGATGTTGTTTAGGAATTTCAGAATTTCAAGAATTAAGAGGAAGTAAGTATCAATGAAAATACCAAAGCACTGCTCATATCCTAAGGAAAAAAATAAAATTCCACATGGGTTTTATTTTTCTTAGTAGTTACTTTGTATTCCAAGTACAATAGGGGATAATTGATTGCTTTAACTTCAAGAAATATTTTGTCTAATAGTATCTATCAAGTTAGGAAAATTAATCCAGATTAGTCTATCAGTTTTATAAAGGTTAGTGACATAGGATTAGTAAATCCAGTTGCTTGCCCTGTGGCTGTTCGATGGCAATATTACTACTGATACTGGAGCCATTCACCTATGAAAACAGAACCAGCAGTACCATTCCCTTTTCTTAGAAAACAAAAATTGCTCCCTTTGCCCCCAGACATAAGTCTGCATTTCATGCCATTGAATGCTGAAAATCCTTTGTTAAGGAGCACATTTCTTTCCTTGTGAATTACCTTGCCTCTGTTTCTCTTTTGCTTTCTAGTGTCTGTCCAGGAAAGCTTGGAAAGAAAATTTGGGAAACATGGGGGAACTATTCCAGTTGTGCCTACAGCAGAATTTCAAGATAGGATATCGGTGAGTAGTTGCTACTGGTTCCTTTATTGTTGAGGTAGCTGTATTCTGACTGAAATCTAAATTTTACTGTGGTAACTATCATGGAGGACTTTTCCCCAAGCCAGGCTTTAGTACATAGTTAGCCTGATGGCCAAACAAATAAAGCAGTCAGATGATCTGGACTGCTTAGGAATACTGGAAATAAGCTATTTTTTTCTTTCTTTTACTTGAGTCCATGCTCAAGTATTGCAAAAAAATCCAAAAATATTGTAAAAAAGCTACAGTTTTAATAAAGATGCATTTTGTATTTTGGAGATCTTGTTGATATAGTTTGCCCAGATTTCCAAACAACTTTCAACAAGATCCCAGACCACAGACAGTTTTGATATGCTGTTTCTGTAACTCTGGAATAAAAGTTTGGTGGAAAATTGTAAAGTGTTTCTCTAAGACTGAATTAATGGGCAAAGAAATGTCAGGTAAAATTCATTGTTAGATATAATGTGTAGCGATATATGGTGGGGAAATTTCAATATAAAATGATCAGTTGTGAGCTCATCCATTTACATTCAAATGGAAGATTGGGGTTTGATGACAAAATAGAAGCTTCAAAATCCATTAAAAATAGAAAGTAAGTTTTAAAAAAAGCAAATCCAGCATTAAAAATAGTTCTGGAGGGAAAAGAATAAGATTAACTATGCTTCCTCAGGAAGAAGTCAGGGGAAGTGCATCATAACTAGGACTACTGTTGGATGATAGAAATGGACTTTAGCCTGATCCAGTAGGATGCTAACATTTTCCTAAATGTTAGGCTCTATGAGTAGCATGATTGGTAGGTTCTGTGGCTTAAAGCAATTGCTGGATGTCTTAAACATGAACCATTGATACTGGCCTGGTGGTTTCTACTCCAGCCCAAATGGTATTTGAGGGAAAGCATCTCTTCTATGAAGCCAACAGGTCTCGAATTGCTAGTAAATTACAGCAATCAGGATGATGGAACATTGAAGCTGATACTGAGTCATCCTAATTCAGGCTATCTTCCACTATTTATTGTTCCGTGTATTTAAATTTTAATGGGAACAAAGTTGTTCTGGAGTTGCTAAAGGCTAATACAATGTGGAGTAATGAATTTGGGAACTATGCCCCTCCTAAAACCTAACTGTCTTCAAAACAATTACAAGAGGCTTCTGTAGGTTGTTGACTCTTGGGAGCTTTTTTAACATTTACTATGTGTTCTGAAGGCTGAAAACAATAGTTGCAACATCAATAAAAAGTGCAGGCATCATCTAGAAGCTAAGCATAGATTGTCATAGATAAGACTTGCTTATGTCTGAGGTTTTAGAACTGAATTGACCATAACTAGCTCTTCAAGTAACACAGTAAAGGTGATTTAGATTCCTTACCCATCATTAGAGGAAAATGAGTGAGCAGGCTTCAGTAATAATGGTACTCCAACATGTCATTGTCCCTAATGCACAATGAGTACCTTTCTGTGTTTTGAATTAAATCCTGATTTTATTGCCTGTTGTTGCAGGGTGCATCTGAGAAAGACATTGTCCACTCTGGGTTGGCTTACACAATGGAGCGTTCTGCCCGGGTAAATATTGCATTACTGTATATACTTATAGGAAAGAAAACTTACACGACTTTGCAACAGTTTTTTAATTGGTTGTACAGAATTTCTTTGCAATTAAAGGAGTAGGTAGATAAACAATACATGGTAATGGCAGTCAGTGTGAGTATGAAGTATTTCTGCTCTGTGCCATCATGGCCAACTTTGAGTGGGTATAATAAGCATTAGACATTAATACAGGAAACCAGGAAGTATTTTCTAGTAGAAGCTGCAGCGAATAGAAACTTGTAAGTTGTACCTGGCTAATCTGGGACACAGACATAAGAGTGCTTTACTTCACCATTAGCATGCTATATTTTTAATTAGTGGGACAAAGACTACTGGAAACATTTGTCTTTCCCTGTATGTGAAGTACGTATCAGTCTAAGATTTGCAAATGGGCAATATAGTAAGCTGGGGAATATTTTCTTCCCTTTCAGTTCTCAGTTGTAAGGGGAGGTCAAGAAATTTTAGAATTGATCCACAAAGGATCAGAGCTCTGATTCCAATCTAGCAGCTCCTTTTACTCCTAACTTGGATCCTGCACGCAAAATTGTTCAGCTCCTATGGAGAAACTTGCAGAAATCACATAGAACCTTTTCTGTTTCAGCAAATCATGCGTACTGCCATGAAGTACAACCTGGGCCTGGACCTGAGAACAGCTGCCTATGTCAATGCAATTGAGAAAGTCTTCAAAGTGTACAATGAGGCTGGTTTGACCTTTACATAAACAGGCCATTACCGCTCCTTGTTGTGTCCCTCTTGCTGTTAATGTACCCTCTTCTTGAGAAAGCTTATCACAAGTTTACATGTAACCACAAAATTTTCTGTTCTTCTGACATTATAGTGGATTCTATTCTCAATTAGTTTCAGTTCCAAACTAGTCTTTTTTACAATAAAAATCCATGGATTAGGAAATTGTATACAAATATGTATCTGAAGATAACAGTTCATCTGCACTTGTGGGGGCCATTCTGGGTATTTCACCTACAAAACAAAATGGTACATTTTGCATATGAAAGAGTGGTCTTTCCACCTGAGCCACTTCTCAGACTTCAGATCAGATACTGTACTATACGAGCACTTAGCTCATTATTACTTCATGCACTTTTGTTTAATGACATAATTTTGGCTTCGGCACTTTCAGCAAGGCCTTGTATGATCAATGCTGTGGCATTGTCAAAGGAAGAATGGGCCTCCAGCAGGGATTAACTTTGGTAGAAATCTAGTTTTTATTTGTAGTAAAGCTTCAGGCCTGATTCTCTTTAGGCAATATTTTTTCTTTAACTGTGCTGCTGTTACAGGACTGCCTTTTATTGCTTGTTCAAGCTAGTTTGACTATTACCATGGAGTATGTAGCGCTGACAGACTAATATTTTTATAAGCTGAAACTATCAAGCAACTCTAGTTACATTTTTAATCAAATATCTACATAACTATTCTGACTATATGTTGTTTCCTTTATAAAAACAAAAGGGATATTCTGAATTTGGTAAGCAATCATACTTAGGATTTTTGGAAATTTTTTTCAGTCTTTTCCTTTCAGAGGCTTTTTTGAAAATTAGATACTGCCTCAGTGAACAACTAAAGTGAAATTGAACCCAGAAACCATTGGCCAAACCACAGAGGAGCTAGAACGCTGCTACGAACTTAATCCACTGTCTTAACCACACAGCCTTTTTTTCTTTTTTTTTTTGCCATCAGGAGGTCTTGAAAGTTTTGAACGTATTAGAGTACAACAAAATGGACCTCAACAAAATATTGGATCAAGCACAGTTTTTGAAGTGTAAGGCTTTTGTCCCGTGGAGTCCCCTTGAAGTGCCAGATGTTATTTATGTAATGAATATGAATGTTTTTTTAAAAAAGACAACTAGTCCCTCCCAGAAACTCATGCTTTTTTTCTAACTACTTTGTAACTGCATGACATAACCTGAAGAGAGAGCAGTTATTAAAAAAAGTTGACCTTTCCAAACCTACTATGCTGGTGTATTACTGTTTTCTATTTCATGCAGTAGCTTTCTGTAGTTCCAATCAGTCTGCAGATTTTGACAGCACACTTGCCTATTCATTACATGCCCACTGCTAAGATACTGTCCCTGAGTTATCTCAAGGGGCTCACTAATACAGATCTCTGACTCTTGAACTTGCCTGTCAGCAAGACTTTTGAAGTTGGATATATTTGGTAAATAATTTCAGGTCTTTTTACTGTGTCCTCTCAAATATGTGTGAAGAACTATTCTAGTGGTTAGCATGGAGCAATAAACCTGTGTGATGCATTTAATTAGTTGCTTACTCCATCATATATGCTGATGTCTAAGGTTGCAAAAGTACTACAGATCACCTAAGTGCAGCATATATAGATAGGCATTATTTATTTAAAAAATTAAGAACCCTTTGAGTTTGAGAGAATTATTGTGATCAAGATGCGGGTCTCTAAATGCAAGATCTGTATCCTGGATCATATTTTTCAATGCAGTTTTTACATGAACATTTATGAAATAATGAAACAAAACTATGATTTTTAACAATTCAACTTTGACAAATTGTAACCAAAACTTGGAGGCTAAAAACTCACAAATAAACAGTTGTATTATTAAAAAGAGAAAGAATCTTAAAAGCAGTGTTGCATTATCTGGCAGCAAATTTGTTAAAAGCAAAATGCTTACTGTTGTTCATTTCCTCTGCAGCTGGTAAAGCATCAGTAGTTTGTCTGTACAAACTGAAACACAGGACCCTTTAAATGCTGGAGCACACAGAAAGATGGCATAGATAGCTAACTGGAGTATCTTCTACCTTCTACCTGCTTTGAAGGGGGAGAAAAGCCAAAACCTGCACAATGCCTGTATTCAGTTCATTAGCATCTTAGAGTCTTGTACACACACACACACACAAACACTTCTTTTCCCAGGCCATCTTGAAGAAAAGCAGATCTACCACCTGACACATTACCAAACCCAGAGATGAGCCCTTAAGGTTGCCTGGATCTCTCCTCAGTGGTAACTGATCTCTTGTTGAGAGTTGGTCTTGGAGACATGAGAGACACGAATCCAAGCATATCCAAGGGCTGGTGTAAGAACAGCTTTGGGTGCTTTCAACCAGAGTGTTGAGATTCTCAGGGAGACTGATGCTTGGAGTCTGACTTAAGATTACCACACATCAGCTGATTTGCCCTCCACTTGTGGCTAAACGCAAAAAGCAAACTCTTATCAGTGATTCCAGACTTCTTGTGATAGCCTGTTCTGAAATAGTCTGGTACAGTAAAGCTATGCTGCTTCTCAGCATTGTTGACCTCAGTCCTAATGTGATCAGACAGTTAAGAAGAAACTAGAGTTGCATGTTCCTTTTCACATTTTGTAGCACATACCTCTCAAGACCCAGCAACAACAACAGATAGAAGAAGAAAGTGCTGAAATTTTACACAGTTGCTATGAGCTAATGTGGTTTTAGAGGCTTGGGTGCAAAGCAGCTCTAGCCTTTTCCTAGCCACAGCTGAAGAAAGCAAGGACTGTCTATGATCTATGTTACAAATATTGGGGTTTTTTTTTGTAACTAAAACTGTCACTTCAGTTAGGTGTTAGACCCTCCTCACATATAGGTACACCCACAAGTCTTATGTGCCAGCTAACAACATTGTCTCTGCATGTATTCACTTACATGCCACTAGACATTCACCAAGAAACTTGCTAGGGTGTTTGGCAGGGAGCTAGGCAGTGCCTGAAGTTAGATTTGAACATGAATTGGAAATTGCTCCGTACCACACCTACTACACAGAGCAAAGCACCTCCTTTCCATAGCAGGTGTCTATAAGCTCTCATTCAGCACTTAATACTGCATAGGTAGATAGTTTGTGTTAAATAGCATCTCAGCAAGTACTCTAAAGCTGCAAGTGAATTGCATAAGGATGACAACTGCAGTGTTCAGTGTAGCATGCCACCTGCAAACTACTAAATGCAAAATATTTCTATTATACAGAAGAACAAGCAGAACAGTTATTTTTTCCCCAGCAAAGAGCTCAGTACTACACCGCTTTTCATTGATGGCAACTCTCACCATCAGGAAGCAGTGTTGGAACAATGGAAATTACTGCTGGATTTCAAGATGCCAAGTAAGTAACCACTAAATTACTCTGTTAGTTATAGATGAGTCTATAGTATGAGATTCTAAGTTCATGTGCACATGGAATGTTTCTGTTATTTTAGGATTTTTTTGATTGTTGATGTGTTGGGTTTGTATTTTTAACTGCCCAGACTGATTCTTTCTGCTACTCCTTGATTATTACTGTCCCATGTGCTTCACAGGAACCTTGCAAATGTGGTAAATGCCTCTGTTGCCACACTGTGTGCTGCATTGCTTATCCTTACTTTGCTGTGCAGAGCTGTTGAAGTTGCACCAGTGATCCAGCTCAGGCAGTGTTAAGCAGTTAGTGGAGCTAAGTGATCTGCTGGCAGTAATGCATCATCCTGCTATTGGCATTACTTTTGAGCATCACAGTGCTGTTGTACTGTGGTTACACGTACCTTAAACACACTTGAGCCTTCCTTGAAACAGTAGCAAAATGTGATTATACAGATAAGGTCAAAAGCACAAGCGCAGTCACAGAAGCACAGAGATGCTTACCTTGTTTGGAGATGGATGTTGGGTGCTCACCTTGTGAGACTTACACAGTCATGGAAGAGATCAGCTCTCAGGTGCTTGATTTTACATGCTGCCTGCTCTGAGCTGTCCCTTACCTCACAAAAACCCAGACTGTTCATGTTAATAGCATGGCACAGCTCTACCTGCCTGCTCTGTGAAGTAATCTAGCCTTTCTAGACCAGTAATTGTAGATTTTTTTTAATATGTGTAAACAAAGGATTCCTAAGAAAAACATGCAAGCCAGACAGAGTATAAGTATTTTGTTTATTTAAGATTACATGTAGTAGAAACTTGTTTACAAAAACTTCAGTGGTGATACATTTTCATCTTCATTGTCCAAAGCTTTTGCCCCACGAAGTTGCTTGATTTGCAACATTTTTTACAGCTTTTTCACCAGTTTCAGCAACTTTGTAGACTTCATCAAGTGCTTTTAAAACAGAAAAAACAAAGGTAACTGTAGCATCAATGAAATAGCTTCCCCTTTCCCACTGCGTGTGGGACAAGGAGCAGGGCAGGGTTGGGGACCTTATCTGGAATTTCACTGGTGTGACATTATTGAAATAAACACGAACATTACTGTACCTTTCTGACCAGCACCCTTTGCCTGTTCCGCTGCTTGCTGCACAGTCTGGCTCACTGTGTCCACTGAAATTAGAAATACAGTGTCAATTAAGCAGTCCTTACTCTTCCCCTAAATTCCATAATCGCATTTTAAAAGGGTTCCCTAAATGTTTCAGGGCTAGAAGATGAAAAATTATTCATTCCATTAGGATGGGCACTCTAGTGGGAGAGGTGCTATTAGGACTCTGGCTGTAGTTCCCCACTGTATCCATGTGTCTTGGTACAGATGAAGACTATGGATGTTACAATATGTGTGACCTACAGTGTCAGGAAACAAACCCTAGTAGAGAACTGTGTGCAATGCAACCTTCCTTTTACTGAGCCTGGCTAGGATCTGCTGGGACAGTTTGGTTGGTAAAGATTCTCTCACCACCTACATAAAGCCTGATGCTCGTTGTCTGAACTGACATGCTCTAAGAGCAGCACATCAAAAATTTAGTGAATATGTTACCTTGTAGCTAGAGAAAATGTGTTCTGTAAGGGACCAGACTACTTTTAAAGGCATGGAAATACTCAATAGAAGAGACATACTGAGATACAAAGATCAAAAGAAAGTATTGTATTAAAGTCAAAGGCCTGCAGCCTAGAAAACAGTGGTAAATATTTGCACGATCAGCCTTCAACAGCTGTGATCAGGGAAGTCTTGCTTGCAAGTGTCAGAAGTTTGGGGCAAATGGCTTTCACTGTATTTGCTGTATTACCCCTGGCTCCGAATACTACCTTTTAAAAAACTCTGTAGAAATGTTCTGCACAAGAGATACTAAAGGATGGGCTGACTCAGTAAGGTAGATTCCTCACAGACATGGCAGAAACAAGAAATACTGAGGTCAGGAAGGACATCTAAGTGGACTGGGAGTATCTAAAACATCAGGCTTGCATTAAATGGCTCTTCAATAGTGGTTGGTTTAAGCATCTAGTCAAAACCAGTGGCCTATTTCACCTTGAGCTTGTAGGACACTCTACTGCTTAGATGTGCTAATTATCATCACGTCATCTTCTGCTGAAGTTTCCTAACATGAATGATGTTCACTGGTCATAAGGTGCAGCTAAGGAAAATGCTTCCCATAGCAATCTTGGGTCACTGCCAAGTTTGTGACTCCTTTCAGGACCCATGGGGAGTAGGTGCTAATTTTAGATACTTGCAAAGCCCAGTTGTGCCTCTCTGCACTTGGCAATAGCTCATGGGACTGTGCCTTCAGAGCACATGGAGGCACAACAGAAGTAGCTGAGAGACAAGGTAATTAATAGTTGCAGAACCACCAGTTGGACAGTCTTGTTCTAGTTGAAATCTGGTGTAAAACCCCCCTTTATTTTCTTTAAAATGGGGATTTAGTGGGTACTTCTAGATTACTTCCAGGAGGTGGTGCGGTACCGACAGTGATGTGACAAGTTCAGCATCATGCACTGTATATTTACTGCCTGTCATCAAGGTATGTGCTAATGGCACAGATGTGGCCAAAGTCAGGTCAGTGCCTGGGACTGCAGTTCCAGGATCCAACTACAGCTGGAAGAGCTGTTCTACAGGACAGGAGTTGCTGGGAAGGTGTGTGCAGAGTTCAGGCAGAGGGCTTCAGACTGGTGGTATCCGAAGAACTAGTTTGGCTTCAAGTGCTTAGGGCAGAGGGGGAAGGACTGCAGCTACTATTTAAAAACTTCACTTAGAGTTTGTTGACTCCTAAACACTTAGTTCCATCAGCTGATTGAGATTACTACTCAGC